GTAAGGATGTGAGCACAGCGCACACGCACTGCACCCGCACCTGTTTCGTTGGCGTGCATGGTTTCATAGGCACAGTTTAGTCAGAGTCCATATGAAAGCCACGGCCTGCGTCTTCAGTCCTCGCCCAGAGATTCATGTTCCCACTGCACAGTCAGAGCCTGTTTCTTTCTGCGGCCTTTCGTAGGGCTGCTTGCAGGGACATGAGAGGTGCTGGGCATAGCTTGACAGACCAGAGTCACTGCGGCTTTCTATGGTGTTCCGTCTCAGAATTTTCAGACAGCCGCGAGCTTCGTGAGAAGAGTTGCGCAAGCAAAAGGCTGTATGTTTGCCCTGGCAAGGGTCTTGAAGCTAGCGCTCTTTGTGTGACCATCGTATGTGTCTGACATTGCACGGTTTTCTCCGGCTTTATTCCGAGAACGCAGCCCCTTGGGATAGCTCAGCGTGCTTGGGGCGCTGAGCATTGAACGGAGTGAGGTTGCATTCCGCCGTGGCTCGTGAAGAACCGTTATGTTCGATGTCGGCATAAACATGGGGACACCAGTGCTGTGATTTTGCAGCGGAAGCTTCCCACGCAGTGACACGTCGAAGCGCTCTAGCGCAGCAGGGCTTCCACGTACAGATGCAGTCAAGGGGGTGGAGGGCGTACCCTCCTAAATGCCTGAAGCTTGCACCTGAAACTCTAAACCTGACGCCCTACATTCCCTACATATCCCCTAAACCCTAAACCCTTAGCCCCTACATCCTGCGCCTTTTAAGTCCGCTTGGGGGCGCCAAGCTGCGTGACCTGTGCAGGATGGTTCTGATCCTGAGTCGGGCCCTCGTTTCTGTGGGGTTTCTTCATGACGCAGTGTCTTTAGTTTAGGACTAGTGTATCATAGGGTTTGGAGTTTAGGGCTTAGGGCTTTAGTTTAGGATGCCGCAGGCTCCAATGGGACTGCCATCTGTAACACTGTTAAGACTCTTACATCCTCAGCGGCAAGACGAGCTCCTAAATCCTACACAGCCCTGAAGCAAGGTGTGTCAATCTACGTGTTCGACTGCTGCCGCTTCATTGACGAATGCGGCCTGACGATGCAGGCCTCAAAAAGAATCCTTTGATCCGTTTGGTCAACGAAGGGGCATTCCGCAAGTGTTGCATGTCGGAGCCTTAGGGTTTTGGGTTTAGGGTTTAGGGTTTAGGGTTAGGGACCTCAGATCCATATCCCCTTCGAAGACCCGGGGGTTTTAGGGTTGAGGGACCCTGAAATTCCAGAATCCTGAACACTGAAACCCCAGAGCCTTTCTGCCCCCAATTGACTGTCTCTCTAGTAGTCTGAAGAGTTACTCTTCGTAGAATCGTAGAACCCCCTCAACCCCTACACCGGCTTTGAGCAACTCTGGAACCGCTTCAAGATACCGTCGACAGCTTCAAAACACCCGAGAGGCAGCTTCACAAACGCTGCAAAACAACTTCAAACCGCCTTACCGCAGCATGAGAAAGCCCCACAAGCAGTCTTAAAACTATACATCACACCACCCTTTTAAAGCGATACTTCAAACTCTTCTGCGGCCCGTAGGCACGGTATATCTCCAGCTTCCTCCGCGGGCTCCGCGTCTTCCAATCCGCGTCTGTGATTCCGTTGATCTGGCGGCCTGGCGTGAGCTAAGGCTAGGGCTCACGGTTAAGGCAGTTTGGCTTTTGCTGTCAGGCTTAAGGCTTCGGAGTTTAGGGGTTTAGGTTTCAAAACGGGTTTTGAGTCTCGGGTTCAGGTTTCAGGGCTTTGACTCCAGGGCCTCTTCTGTTAAGGCGCCTGTGGCATTGCTCGTATCACTGAAAGGAGGTTGGGTCTTGTTAGGGGTCTATCCTAAGCCCTGAATTTGTCGGGTGCTGGTCTGGAGGCTTTAGGGCTTCAGGTTTCATCGTTGAAGACTGAAGTTGCTTGATCCCCAAATTCGATCAACTGCAGCGTAGCAGAAAGGTTCTGCACTCTAGGGCCATCTGGTACGGTCGGGGGTTGTCGCATGGCGTGGTAGGGGAAAGGTATGCTTTGGCTCAAGCCATTTTGGCTCAAGCTCAAGCACAGCAAAAAAGTTCGAGAGGCCCCCGTGAGCCCTCCTCGCCGCGTGAGCGCACCAAGACATGGCCAGCGGGCGCGGCAAAGCCAAAATGCCACCACCGGGGCTGGACAATAAAGAACTCCCGGGGGTCATTGAATCGGGTGATTCTGATCTCGACGAGTCCCGACCTCAGAAGGCTAACAGGCGTGAGGGGCACACATCTCCAGTGGGTCGAGAGCGAGGGCCCGTCACCTTGTCGGATCTCCGGGCTCTTCTACACGAACAGAGCCAGCAGCTGCAAGAACACCAGGAGAAGCAGATCCGCGCAGCCATCACCGACCTGCAGAAAAGCACTGGGGCACAGATCAAAGCCATTCAATCGGACATCCACCGGCACAACGACTACATTGATCAGCTGCGCGACCAGGGGGATCGAGTTGAAGCGAGGCTCCAGGCACTTGAAGCAGGGGGAGTTGGACCTGCTACCAGTGGGGGGGGGCAGGGGCAACGAGGCCCGCAAGAACCAGATGATCTTCGGAGGCTGGGGCCCTGACACCCACAGGGACACGCTCCTAGCAGAACTTCGTGAGCAGCTTCCAAAATCAATGCCCTTCAGCACTTTGATGACATCTTCACCACGGGGCCCCGGCGAGGCAACGCGCTGGGCTTGGTCACCCAGGGCCAGGGAGAGACCGAAGGGGACCTGAAGCGGAAGATGATCAAGATTGCCCAAGCGGTCCGAGAGGCGAACCTCCGCTCCGAGAATATGCAGTCGGACAAGAACCTGTGGGCTTCGCTCTCGAAGTCCAAGATGGAACGGCTTCGTTCCAGTCATGCCGGGAAACTCAAGCGAATGCTTATGGAGATTGACCCCGCCCTCCGTGATCATATGGATGTCGAGTGGAACGCGGGATCGCTCTGGCTGAGGGGGGTGCTCCTGGGCAGTGCTACCCGTGGCAAGCCGGTGGGAGCGACGATTGCTGAGGGGAAGGTCCCGCAGGCATGGGTGGATCTCACTACGGCCGGTCGTGTCATCGGCTGCTCTGAGAGTGACCTACGTGATCGCTGGTCGAACCTCATGGACTACTGAACCGAAGAACTAGACGATAAGGGGGGCAGCCCTAGACAAGCTGCCACTGCAAGTTTTGAAATTCATGAAATTCATGAAGGGCCCCATCTAGGGCCCCCTGGGTCCCGTCGCGAGATGCTGCCAGATCCAGGCCCGAAGCCTTGTACGCGGAGGGAGTCTACCCACCCCTCCTCGGCACCACAACATGTACAGACAGGCCCGGAGAGGGCCGGTGAGCTACAGGCACAACCTTTGAAATTCGTATCCTGGAACATTGGTGGCAAACCGGTGCAAGACGCACTGACTGCTATCAAGGTAGTACACTCCCTTTCAAACACAGTAGTTTGCTTTCAGGAGCTGCCCCGCACCCAAGCAGGGTGGCAAACGACTAAGGTGGATGAGCGCTACACCCTCGTCCAATTCAGAGACGACCTCCGACAGTGGAGAGGCAATGGCATCCTCTTTGATTCGGATCAGTTCGTATGCCTCAGGAGGAAGGCGAACCATGTTGGTGTATGGGCCCGATTGAGACACGTGGCGACCCAAGTTGAAGTTTGGGTGGGGTCGGCCAGACTAAGCACAGGGGTCACGGATGATATTACAGCGGGGGAGGTTCAGGAACTACTCGCTTCGAACCCCCAACTTGTTGTCTTTATGGCCGACTTCAACACCAGAATGGCTTGGAGTAGAGGGGGGGGCAGAGGCTGCTTCCGGCCCACGACGGGGAGAGCAGACAACCTGCTGGCTGAAATCGAGGGAAGGGGGCTTCAGTTCTGCCCTCCCAGTGAAGAGCAGTGGGACACCCCCATTAGCCGGCCTCGCCGAGCAGGGGCTAAAGGAAGACAAATCGATGGGGTGGCGATCTCGGGGGCACCACTTCCCTGCATTTCCATTGAGGAGAGATCCTACACCCAGATTGGTGGCGACCATGACCGAGTCTCCCTCAAGTTGGAGATTGCAGGAAAGGGGAGAGGTCCTCAGATCATAGCCACAGGGCCCCGGATAGTCACAGGTTCACTCCCCAGCCTCGGCGAAGTCGACCAGGACGTACTGATGAAGCTTGCCAGAGACCGCACCAAACCCAAGCCGGGCACTCGGTACCAGGACCCCCCCGAAGTAAAGCAGATGTACCGGGAGGCAAAAAGGCACGGCGGAGAGGCCAGATGGAAAGCAGCCCACAAAGCCAGAAGACAGGCTCATGATCAGTGGCAAAGGGACAAACTGGAGCGAGCGTCGCAGCGCAGTTGGAAGGACTACAAGGACCTCAAACAGACGCAGTCCGGGACCACCTGGGCAGTTCACATGTCTGAGGAGGCCTTCGCAGCTGGGAAAGACCCCCAACAGTGGACCATCTCTCACTTCAAAGCCCTCTTCACTGACGCGAGTGGCAGGGCGCTCCCTTCCTGGAGTCGTGGCCGACCGGAGTCAAACCCCTTCAGCATGGAGGAATTGGAACTGGCAGTGCAGAACGGCAAGAAAGGGAAAGCAGTCGGGATGGACCTCACCTCCTTTGAGCTCTTGAAAAGCCTCATGCAGGACGACCAAACCGCCAAGGCCTTGCTCAGGTGGATGGAAGATATCCGACAGGGCCGACCCATCCCGCCGCAGTGGCTACAAACCATAGTCACTCTCTTACCCAAAACACCCTCCCCAAGTGGCCCCGGAGAGCTCCGACCCATAAGCCTGGGGAGTGCGGTCGGGAAGGTGTACGGCACTATGCTGCTGAGGCGAACCCGTGCAGCAATCCAGCCGATTGGACCGGAGCAATGCTCGCACTCCGGACGCCAAACGGCGGATTACGTGTATACAGCCATTCGATCCTTTCAGCTTGACACAGAGTGGCGATGGGGCCTGCACTGGGTCAAGCTTGACATCAGTAAAGCGTTCGATAGCTTGGACAGAGTGAAAGCCCTCACACACCTGCAAAAAGCTCTACCAGAGAACATGCACCTCGAGTTCGAAAGCTGGAGGCGCCTACTGATGCCAGGCACGGCTGTGATTCGGACACCATGGGGCGAGCAAAGCATAGGGCAGACGAGAGGGATCAGACAGGGCGCAGTAGAGAGCCCGTGGCTCTTTTCGCTCGCGATGGAGCTTGCACTTAGCGAAGCCCAAGCTCATGCTGAGTGGCCCAGCACTATCGGGGCTGCCCCGGACCTCTGCATCACCGACCTGTTGTTTATGGACGACAGCTTGTTGTGGTCGGGTAGTCAGCGCGACTTGAAGAAGAAATACGACATTCTTAGTGGCACCTTGGCAGAATGGGGGCTCATGGTCAACCCAAAGAAGACAGCTTACTATGCCAGCCCACATGCGACTGAGCAGGGGCCACTTCTACTCGACAAAGTAGCCGTCAAGAGCAGAGAGTCTCTGGAAGTCATGGGCATCGCCTTGAGTGTACCCCTCAAGCCTGCGGGGCTGATGGACGCAGCCCTGGCCAAGGCTAGGAAGAAGTACTTTGCTTCCCGCGACATGCTCGAGTGCCGCACACCGTTGAAGGAGAGACTCAAACTTTTCTCCTCTACAGTAGCAGGTGCGGCCCTATGGTACTCTGCTGCGGCACCGCCAAGCCCGCAGGGCATGGGGGCAGTGAACAGTCTGCAATTGGAATTAGTAGCAAGAATGGCTGGCTTCCGCAGACGAAGCAGCGAGACTTGGCTGGAATACCACACTCGCAGCCGCAGAGCCGCCCGGCAGATCCTTGTCAATCACCAGAGCCCCCGGTGGAGCACCATATGGTTGCAGAGATATTGGGGGTACAAAGGACACATAGCAAGAGCCGCTCGCAGAACCAAGCCACCGGCGAGCAGCCTCATTGACAGTTTCCGTACCTACCCTTGGTGGAGGCAACAACAGAGGATGACCACCGGGCTCAGGCACCCAGCCTCCTTTTACCCATACCTATCCAACGATGAGCTCCGACTGAACCGTGCTGCAGCACGGGAAGACTGGAGGCAGCTTGCCACAGACCCCCAGGCCTGGAAGCAAGCCGAAGCAGAATGGATCAGACGTAGCCTGGACCACAGGACGACAACTCACCCTGACAGGGGAAGTGCACATGCCGCCGAACCCACACCCCCCGCATGCCATGGTGGAGGAGGGCGAATGNNCCCCCCCCCCCCCCCAAACCATCGCGAGCCTGAAGCAATGACAGTATCACACATGCACTACTGCAATTTCACATCCAGAGAGCCTTTCGCTGTCGAGTTCCTTTGCAGATCAGCTTGAGCCGCAGACACATTGTTCGACCATCACTGTTTAGCTCTGATCTTGCGCTGCAGCCACTGGCGCCACTCTAGGCCTGCCTGTCCAGCTTGGTAGGCCGACTGTAAGCCCTTCCATGCCCATGATGACGACGTTCGTGATGAACATGTTCATGGTCCTCTACACGATTGAAGCCGGGTCTCGCTGGACCCAAGAGGACAGGAAATTCGATGCTGCGAACTGCTCGCCAACCTTTGGCCAGCGGTGCGGCGAAGACCCTACAGGCCAACAAGTAGGGCACAGTTTTGAGCTACGAGAACCACCGGGACCCCCTGCCTTACCCGATTACGAACATGAGGAGTTACCAGTACACCCACACCGACAGCAAGCCGAACCCCCGGGACAGCACCCAGGACCAGTACGACCTCGCCAACGGGGAGATGCAGAGCTGCAGGAAAGCGGGACACCCCTAGTCCTGGAAGAGCTTGCCCGCAGTACATGGCAGGGTTCAGAGCCACGAGGACCACCGAGACCCGCTGTTTTACTCGACCATGACCGAGGGGGCTTACAGGATCTCCCGCCCCGGCCGCGAGCTGAACTCCCAGGACAACATGCACAACCGGGCCATGATGAAGATGCACGATGGACGAGGCCAGGCTCCACGATGAGAAACCAACAGAAGCCTCCTGCCTTGCCCGATCTCGACCAAGGGGGCCTGCCAGATGGCGACGAGGGGGGGAGTCCCTGGAAACACGTCCAGCACCACTGCAACTCCACCGGCCAGGGGATACAGAGTCGCCGGACCCCAGGTACAGTGCAGGCATGGAAGCTGACGCTGGATGGACAAGACAGAGCCCTGATCTACGAGAGCAACCGAGGTACCCTGCCTCGCCAACTCGAGACCGAGGCCAAAAGAAGGGACCAGCTTCTGAATTACGAGCGCCACCGGGACCTCTTGTTTTACCCGACCAAGACCGAGGGGGCCTACCAGAATACCCACCCCGACTACGAGCTGAACTTTCGGGGCACCATCCAGAACCAGGACGTCATCACTGCTCGGGAGATGTAAAGTCACAGGACACCAGGTACAGTGCAGGCATGGAAGCTGGGGAGAGAGGGGTTGGACAGAGCCCTGGACTACGAGAGCAACCGGGGGACCATGCCCTACATGACCGAGTGAAAGCCCACCGCTACACAGAGTGGCCGGAAGCCGACCGGGCCATACCGGACGAGACAGCCTTCCTTGGGGTCCACACCTACCTCCTCTCGACCAGTGTCTCCGTGATGGCCTTCCACGACGCCCTGGATGACCCCGGCACGCCAGGCTGGTTCAGAACGGCGGCTGAGCTTGGCTATGACATGATGAGCCGCAGAGCGGATGCGGAAACGCTGGCCAACTCGATGGATGAGGTGGCCTTGCAGTGCGAGGGAGAAGACTGGTCCCTCCGTTCCGAGAAATACCGAAGCGGCCTTAGAAGGCTCTGGGCCAGGGAGAAATACAAGCGGGAGAGAGAGCGGGGCCCCATGCATATCGACCCGATCGCGCAGAGAGAAGTGCCAGAGTTTGCAAGCAACCTCGTCGACTACCTCAGGAGGAGTATGTTGGCTCAGCAGTTCAATGACCTCCAGTTTTACCCGCCCTGCTGGGGGCACGACGTGTACGACCGGAACACCCGTTCAACGCGGATGAGCCCACACCGGGAGGGCCCAGACACCCCCTCCTACTCGGACAGCAGCTCGGAGGCATGCGCCCCGCATGAAGAAGGCAGGGCGAGGAGCAGGTCGCGGACACCGGAAAGACAGCCAGCTACAGCCGCCTCGACGAGTCTGAGTGGAGAGATCAACGCTCGTGGACGGAGCTCCGGGGCCACAGAAAGTATGGTCCCTGCGACGAGGATGGAGGAGGACTCAGATGCTGCAGCCTTGGTGCAGAAAAAGTGGCTGTTGAAAGCCCGGAGACCCAAAACTCAGTACCAAACGGCGAAGATGATATGGAAGTCGGCCAGGCCGGAGCACAGGTCGTCCTCAACGAGGTCTCTCGACCCAGCTGCTCCGCGCTCGCTACTTGCACGGAGGTGTGCCAGCGCCCCCTGGCATCGACAGCCTGAGGACGAGGACGAGGCCGAAGAAGTGATAGTCGAAGTGCCGGATGAGGAGGCGGACGGAGCAGGAGGAGCGACAGCCACACCAGATGATGCGACAGAAGGCCCAGAGGCCGACAATGCAGAGGGCCTCTGGCTTATCCTCCTGGGGCTTGACCCCTACGGGGGTTCCTTCAACGTGCCCGCCGACTTGGCCACCATGCCGATGACGCTGCCTACAGAGATAGTCGAGAACGTCAGGGCAACGTTATCGGAACACTCTGCCGATGAGGTGGAAGAGATGCGAGGTGCACTGCCAAACGTCCTAGCCGCCATCAGGGAAGAGCTTATGGGCCTCATCGACGAAGCGGCTCGAGAACGCAGCTCATCCTCGCGACCGACACCTGTGGACGCTGAACCCGGCGAGCCTGTGGAAGAAGGCGACGAGTCCCAGCTCATGCAGAGAACCGTCACGGGGATGCTAAGGACCAGCAAAAGGGGCCAAGGGATCAGAGAAGACAAACTGGCCCTCCACCACGAACTCCAAGACTTTCCCCAGGGTACCGCTTCACGCTTGGCCCGACGACTCCGCCAACGACTCGAAGTGGAAATGCACTACGTGGAAGATTGGGTGACCATCGAGGCGGTGCTGGCGGCAAACTCTGAGTCGAAAGAGGTGTGTCCTGAGGGGGAAGAACAGGCAGCCCAAGAGGAGTGGGTCGAGAAATGGATGAGGCGATTGGCGAAACCCCGACCAGGGCAACCGGCCTCCTCCACGGATGTGGTCCACGTCAACCCGGTCCCCCTCAACGACACGCAGCTCTACGAGGCAAGAGCACAAGAGGAGGAGGCGCAGGAGCAGGCGGACGTTGCCCTGTACGAGTGGCATCAACAGCAAGTAGAGTCAGCACGGGCCAAGCAGGAGGACGAGCTGACCTTGCAGGCGAACCTTGGCCTGTCCACACGACGCCCCGCTAAGAAGGTCAGACTGACAGTGGAAATCAACCGAGGGGGCACCAAGCACTACTCCGAGTTTGAGGTCAATGCTGGTGAGGAGATCAAGCTGGGGATATCCATGACGGAAAGCGCCCCAGGACACTACCTCCATGGGCAACCTATCTCGCAGGCTGAGGCTCGCGAGCACCTTCAGAAGGAGGAAGCCCGCCTCAGAACTGGAGGGGTGGAACAGCCGAGAGCCAGCTACAGCATGGATGACCAGGCCACCCGGGAGATGTACGCAAGATGGATCAGGGGCCATGCCACGGCAGAGCAGGTGTCGGAGTTGGGCGGGGGCGACATGGTGAAGTTCTTCGAGGCCATCAGGGAGATCGAAGCCTTGCAGACCATCCCCGACACCGTCCCGCCGCTGGAGAACCAAGGCCCTGAACTTGAACCGAGAGGAGAAGAGCCAACGCTGGCAAATACCATCCGCTTCAACTACTTGGGTGAGAACTGGAAGTCGCTAATGGCCAGCCCCAAGTTCCAGGACACCTACAGAGCCTGGTTGGCAGGGACAGTAGGCGACGACATGGTGGTCCTCAGATATGGAAATGGCGCAATGGCCCTATACAGGCTCCTCCTGGAGCGGGGATACCGCTACGTCCCGCGACCCTCGGAATGCGGCTCGGAGAGCAGCAGTGACTCTGAGACGGTGCCCTTCCGCCCGGCGCCGCCGGCAGGGCCAAGGGGGTCGGAACATGGGCCAGATGATGCTGACACGCTGATCCTGGAGGGAGAGTCCTCGGGAGAAGGTCGCCGGCAAGACGCCTAAAAGCCAACAGTGGGGCACGGGTGGCAGCATGATGTACGAAGGGCTGGAAACTATGACTGAGAGTGGCGCCGATCTGTAGCAACAGACAGAGCACGCAGTACATGCCAACATCATGGTTTGGTTGTTTATTTAGCCTTACCGTGGTTCGCAAGCTGTGTGCTCGTCATACTCGTAACTGACCATGACACTCCCGCCCTTTGGAGGGCATAGCTGCATATCACATCTTGTTTGCGAGGCGGGCATAGTTGACCTGGACTGTACAGATTCGGCCTGTGCACCAGTTGCTTGACATCTTCGTTCTGTGGTGACTCAGTTGTTAAACCTTTGCTGGTTATGCGAACGGATGATGTGCCAGGCCAGTGCCGGGGAGCCCTGAAGCAGCCACCTAGCAACTTTCAGTCGTATTGGTACTGTACCCCGGCTGGTTTCGTCTTCCCCCCCTTCTGTGCTTTTACCTGCTAGGCTGGTCGCCTGATGCTTCTGCAAACTATCTAGGGCAGCTTCCTGGGGCTATGCAGTTAAGGGTGAGCGAGGTTAGTTTACTTTGATGGCTTATCTGGAAGCACCCTGCCTCCGCCTGCTAGGCATTCTGACCAATCAAACCGTGCGGAAGGAAAAGAGGCGACAAAAAAAAAAACCCTGATTCAAGTTCTCTTCGCTTCAGCCTTCTGTACATGTGGAGCGTGGGCTGGGATCCACCTTGACTTGGAGCCGGCCTTGCACCCTCAAGCCCTAACCCTAAGCCCCAAACCCTAAACCCTAAACTTTAAACCCTAAACTTTAAACCCTAAACCCTAAACCCTAAGCCCTAAACCCTAAACTTTAAACCCTAACAACCCTAAACCCTAATCCTAAGCCCTAAACCCTAAACCCTAAGCCCTAAACTTTCAACTTTAAACCAACCCACCTAACGAAAGCCTCCCCCCGGAAGCTCAGGTTCTTTGCCCGCCCAGGCCACCTCCGAACAGAGGGCTGGGAGGCCCACTCGGAGCATGGAGGGTTTAGGAGCAGGGTTTAGGGTTTAGGAGCATGGAGGGGTCCTAGTCCCAGAGAGCCCAATACCCCTTCATTAAGGAATAGACCTTAAATTAGAGGGGCCTTAATATTATGATTTAAGATATATTCCTTAATTAAGGGGTATTGGGTCCTCTGGGGTGAACTATGGCAGGAAAGAGGAGTAGTCTCAAGAGACTTTCCCGGTTATCTATTAAAAGAGTTTAAAAGAGAAGGAGGCCTATTCCCGAGAGAGTTTAGGGGGTTAGTTAAAGTTATATCTAATGAGAAATATTCGTCATCAGAATGATCTACCGCTGTTGCTGTCATCACCACTGCTTCTTCGCCACGCCTCCTTTCAAATTCAGAAGGGGTTTCTGTAAGGCCTAAACCCTGAACCCTAAACCCAAAGCCCTAAACCCTAGACCCTAAACAGTACTGTAAGGGCTCCTTTCATAGGGGAGGGCTTGTTGGGTTTCGGGGAGCCTCTAGGGCTTATATGGCTTAAGGCCAGAGCCCACACTTCCAGCACCCCAAGCTCTCAGAGTTCCTCGTTCTTATTCTGGGAGCCCTTATATAGTAAGCCCCCTGTAGATATAGGAACCCTTATATACTTATATAGTAAGCCCCTTTGTAGATATATAGGAACCCGCCTTAGCGTGCTCCTAATCGGTAGAACCCTAAACCCGAAACCCGAATTCACCCGAGTCCCCGCTGTGTAGCTTCCTGAGACTCCGCAGGCTGAGTTCTTGGCTTTGCTCTCGACGGTTGGCACACTGCCGGATGCTCGGGGGGGGGGGTAGAGTCCGGGGTACTGTCAGCACTTCTGGTAGGCTTCGATAAGGGCTGTACAGGCTGCAGAGCTGCGCTGAAGGGTTGACGGATGTTTTATATGGAGTCATTTCATTCAGAACGTTTAGCGCGTAGTTTGTGCAGACACATCTTTGGTTTTCATTGTCTAGGCTAGGATTATGTCGGCGAGACTATCTAGTACTGGTGTGGTTTCTGCATCTATAAAACGTAAAATAAACGTGAATTAAAAGTCATCGACCCTAAAAAAACGTGAAAAGCAACGTGCAAAGATCGTAAAATAAACGTACAAAAAAACGTGTATAAAACGTGACACGCTAAAAAGACGTGAAACACAACCTGAAAAAAACTTGAAATAAACTTGATATAAACTTGATATAAACTTGATATAAACTTGAAATAAACATGAAAACA